AAAACAGAGCTCAAACATGACAGTCATAGCAACAAAAAGATTTATGCAACAATGCCTTAAATTACCCGCAGCTCAAACTCCTAGACGCTGAAGGAAACTTTCTAATCTGTAATTTCATTAAACTCGTGAGCTGAATCAGTATAGAAGTTTTTGCTAAGGAATCAGTTCGTAACTTGTCGAACATAAAATTTTACGAGTAAATCTTTCAAACAGCAGTTTGGTAACATGAATTAGGGACTTGATGTCCCTCATACAGCGTTTTAAGTTTTTGAACAACAGATCCCAAAGAGGGCCACAACAAATAGGTTTCAGGGTTTCATTAGTAGCTCCTTAATGTAGGAAACGACTTTTGGCACGTCAGCAGTCCATGCAACTGAGACCGGAGAATAGCCTGTCCAAGGATTATCAGCGTTCCACCTGCAACGAAGAGTACAATTGAATAAAGAAAAAATCACGAAAGGAAAACAATGGAAAATCTAAAGCAGGTATAGAAATACTTCTTCAATCCCTGATCCATCAATGTGTGCCCAACACAAATGCCTTGTGTCTCAACCCTTACAACTCCCTTCTTGAAAGTAAAGAGCTCCGGTCTACGTAGTGCAGTGAAAGCAACCGGATCGCGGAGAAAAATTCCTGAAACAGAGAATAAGTTAAAACAAACAAAGGCGGTCCGTAAACTTAGAAAGAGAACCGAGAGCAGAAGGATTGTTCACCATGGACTCCATCAGACTTCAAGTGCCACTTCCTGTAGAAATCAGTCATGTCACATGCTAACTTTGAATGCCTTCCTTTGGAATTTCTTAGCTCGGAGAGATCTGCATCTGTAATTGTAGAGGGATTGCACTTGTGAAGAGCTCACTGTGAAAGGCAGAAATGAAAATAGAAGATACCGTTTACCTGAAAGAGTTACTTGAGTTGTGATATTAACGCCCACAACAACAATGTCCGCTCCAGATGTGAAGACTATGTCAGCTGCTTCTGGATCCCCATAAATCTGCAAGAACGGGAAATAATGTAGTATGTATGTTAATCTTTTGTGTAATATTTAACTGAGGAAATCAGAGCTTGTGGAGCAGTAAGAGAAATATAAGAAAATCTCTTTAGTTATGGTCTTGAGCACTCCTAAAGTTAGAAAAGAGAGAAGGGAAAAAGAAGATATTCATCCTAAAGATATGATCTTGATCCCCCATACCTATGGCATCGAAAATGAAAGTTGGCAATTTAAGTCCCTATGACTAATTTTATTGTCAACCATTTCTCTTCTTTGATGCAACCTAAAGAATATCGAGCATTCAAATTTAGTGATGGAAATTATGTGGCCTTTGATTAATCTGTACTGGAATGGATTTGCAATTAACAGAAAAATGCATCTATATTTAAGTTTCAAATGGTTCATCTATAATGCACTTCAGCACTTCCATGTCTCTTTCTTTTATATTTGTTTATAAATTACAATGAGTGAAGGCCTCTAGGCCTAAATCATGACAAAGGAGATAACTATAAAGGGGAACAACACCCCAAAAACAATACCATGAAGGGAGAAAGAAGCATCTAACTGTGCTGAATTTCTAAAGCGAGCAATCAAAAACATGAAAGAGCGAGGATGGCTTTGTTCTTTTATTAAAATAAAATAAATATTATATGCAGCCATGATTTATACTTTTATAGAACACTGCAACTAGCACCTGAACCTGCAACATCCTTCATGGCTCAACTATTTATACATAAAACTGAGGTACTAGCTTAATTCTGAATCACATCCTCACTATTCCGAACCCCATCATTTTGCATTATGCAGACATCATTACTGCTTCCGAAGATAATTTGTAAACAAGTTTATGAAATAATTCCAACCCACTAATCCATTTGCAACTAAAACATCAACAAAAGGCTAAAGCAGAAATATACGCATACATTTTGATAGAATTTAGTGAGCAGTGAAGTTCTTAAAGGATTTGATGAAGAGAGAATTGCACTTTGAGAGGAATTGCATTTGCAATGTAAGGTTGAAAGTGAATGAAGCTGGTACGAGAAAAATCTAATGTGAGATTCATGGCACAAAATAGTTGGATGAGGCAATGAATCAGTACACAGTTCAGATATTTTTTTTTATAAGATGACTAGTCAGGCATGTAATTTTCTTAGCATATTGAGTCCATCCACAGCAGAACTCCAAAAGTCCAGAATCTTATCATAAGCCTTACTTTCAACTCTAAGAAACCAAACTTTTACCAGGAACACAATTCTGATTTGCGGAGTCGTAACATAACACTTGAAGGAAGAAAAATGAATTTTACAGGTACATAGGAAGAAAAAGAAGAAATTTGTGCGTAATTAATACAGTAATAATTGGGTGAAACCAAAATAAATCTTTCTTAGGTATAATTCAGCTGAACCCAACTTTTCATACGGCTACAGAAGAATCTTGTGGGATAAAGCGGCAACATAATTTGACAGCTCCAGTGCTCCACATAGGGTTACAATAAAACTATGTATGGAGAATGAGGTAGACTAGAGAAGCACCTGCCGATATTTACGTTACAATTACTAGAGAAGGTAATGCATTAAACTTTGTACTAGATGATATGGAAGGAGTTCTTTCAAAGTCAGTCACTTTTTCATTCCAATTCCTCTCTAGTTTGATGAAGGGAACCTTTACAATTAGAAGATGCATAGTCATTATCAATAACACTCATCTAAAGGGTACATATTCATCTAATAAAATATACTAGTTATGAAATAAGTTGACAATAAAAAGTTGACGAAAGTATACGAAAATTCGTTTAGTTGTTACATTTGCTTCAGCAGCAGGATTAACTTTGCCAGTTGCAAAGAAAGATCCACCGAGAATAACCACCTTCTTCACCTTGCTTGCAAATGATGAATCTCTTTTGATGGCCTGAAAAGAAAATAGTTGAAATGTTTACGTATGAGCCTGATACTGTAGAGGATAACAATTCACATAGAAAACATTGATAAGGTTATCATAAAAATTCACATAGATAAAATTAGTAAGGTAATCTTATAATATAATCTTTTGTCTATATTTTCTCAGCTCAATGGTTAACTTGACTTGAAGGGAGAGTTGGCTAATGTCGTTGTAAAAAGACTAAATTGTATAATAGAACATTATACTTACCAGTGCTAAATTTGTCAGAGGTCCCAGCGCAAGCACAGAGACCTCACCAGGATGTTGAGAAACCTTATCAACCAAAAACTTGGATGCACTACTTTCAACCTTTTGCCCCGAAGGAGGCGGGAGAAATAAATTGCGCATACCATCAGATCCATGTAGATGGGCACGAGAACGGGGTTTTCCTCCCTATCAGAAGAAAAAGGCAGAGCAGATACTTTAATCAATGTTCAATAAACCAAAAACACTCAAGTTTAATCCTTTAATGCGTACAATCATCTGAAATTGAAAGAACACGAGAGGAAACCTGTTTTACATTAATTTTTTGTCTTGTTACTTGAAAAACTAAGTATACTCCTAACAGGGTATAGGAGCTAGAAAAAAAAGCAAGCATAAAGTGCTTAAATTTTGTCTCATTACTTGGAAAAACTAAGTATACTCCTAACAGGGTATAGGAGCTTGGAAAAAAAGAGAGGCATAAAGTGCCTACCTTTAGTGTTTCGTGGTTACCCTCTGCAACTGGAATATCACGGAACCCTGCGATCTCACACTATCCTTTTGTGCATTAAAAATAATAAGTAATGATGGACATAGTTCCAATCATATAAAGAAAATACTGCAACGAAGGTAAAGAAACAAACATGACACATGTGTCATCTAGACATATGCCATGAGGACATGAATGTACCAGGAGTAAAGCATTGCGGGTAGCATCTGTTGTACTGCAATTACCAAACACTGTTGTCAAACCAATGACTTCTACTTCTGGTGTTTGCAGAGCCATCAAAATGGTCATGCTATCATCTGTAAGCAATGCAAAGTAGGTATAATTACAATGCCCTCACACTCCAAGAAATAATGCAAATTTATAAAATAATATATTTGATATCTAAAGTGATGATCGGTAATTATATTACAAATTTTACAAATACACTATAATCTGTATTAAAGTTAACTTTAGCATTTTAGAGCAGAAACTTACCCTTAATTGATACAATTTAGTGTCATGTCAACAGGTAGATACCCACCAACTAACTTGGAGCAACTTTCAAGGGGTTTTATTATGATGAAAGATATTGCCAACCAACGGAATATGAGGTGCCAGTCATATTATAGTGTATTAGATAAGGTTTTACTTTTGTGTTTCAGAGCAGAGTGTTAATCTTAAGTTAACCAATTTGATTGGAACTTTTCAAGGGGCTTGAGTATGATGAAAGTTGTGGCCAAACAGGGCAACATGTAAATGTTGACGCCGACCAACTAGGTTGGAGCAAGTTGTCAAGGGGAAATTTTGATGAAAGTTGTCACCTGTTTAAGGCTTGACCACTAGAGAACTAGGACAAATTTCCTCCTCTTAAAAGCGTAGGAAATGGGGATCCCACCTTTACACTTGAATTAATAAAAAAGTTGCTGGGTGCACTCCATTAAATTGTATCTAAATAAAAATTAGGCTTAATTGTCTAACACGGTTGCATGTTTTCTGAATAATGTAAAGAATTCAATATGTCAAGGATAAAATTGTACGAAAAATTGCAAGTAGAGTAAACAAATAATTCAGCCATTGGGATATATACTAATTCGGTTTTCACTAACTATAAAATCACCCAATAATCCCCCAAGGTCATGTAGGGAACTATATTTAGAAGCTGAAAAAAACTACAATATCCTGAAGCTACAAGAGTATACGTAACAGTGTCCAATCTATTTGTTGTGATGCATATTAAGTTAAATTAAAGACTAATTATGAAAAATATCTTTCAAACATTCACACGTTAAGCTCTATTCATGAAATAAACCAGATCTGACGCTAAAAAACGAACTCATAAGTAAACTAATCAAAGATCAGAAAAAGGTCGGGACTTTTCTGAGATCCCCTATAATGTTATCACTTCGCTTTCCTCGAAATCCACACCAGAGGCAAAGACAAGCAAAAAAAAAAGACTAAATCCTCCATCACTTTACCTGAGCCAAAGTTTCGATAAGAAAGCAATAAAAGGGGGAAAAACATCAAGAAAAATTACCAACTCCAGGATCTGTGTCGATGATGAGCTTCTCTTTAGATCCGACATCAGTGTTGGCCTCCATTTCCCTCTCTCTCTCTCTCTCTCTTGATGAATTAGGGTTAGGTGCTTAAGAGAGAGAGGATTAAGGAGAATTATCAAGAAAAAAGATTTTTGGTCTTCCCCTCCTTCAGTAATGTTCTCTTTTTCCAAATTCGTCGAGCGGTTGAACTTATATCGATGACGTAGTCCACGTGTCTTTACATGAGTGGGGCAGAGAGCCCACAGATCTCGTAGGGTCACCTCTCTTGTCCTGATTCTGTAAATTGACTTTTCAGAGGGAAACGGCGCTCAAATTATGAGTGGCGCTTGATTTCAACCTGATCGCTCATTTCTTTTCCAACGGTGGATATTGGACGGACACGTTCACGCGTTGCTGCGTTTCGATGGAGCACGTGGTGGTGGTGGTGGGGGGGGGGGGTGGGGGGTCAGGGGGGGTGGTGGGGGGGGGATTAACTTGCCAAGTAATTACTATGTTCTGGTGATCGGTTCTAATCTGTTCGTACAAGATTTGGTCATCCGCACGATTAGTTATACTAATGAATGTTTAATTGCAGGACAAGAAATGGTAGTGGATATGGGGACGAAAGTGACATCAAAACTAATCCTTCAAGTGTTCACATATAATAAGTACTGACGTGCAAATGTAATTTTGGGTACAGACTTCCAAAAAGAAGGGATTTGTCAATTTACTTTGCAGTGACTGATACATGAAATTGAAAAAAATCTACAAAGAAGCAAGTGATATTTCTTGGGGAAAATGGAGAAAATGTTGAGTATAAAATAGTAATCTTCGGTTCTCATTACAATTTTGGAGTTTTGACTCGAATGGAAGAGAAAGTAAGAACAGAACAACACATGCTCAAATTTTCATCACCGATCACAGTAAGAATGGATTTAAAGAAAGATACCGTTGTTGTTCAGATATATGATCGACATCACTCGTCTTATTCAAAATATCATCATACCTAAATGTAGAGAAATTAGAGATATTGTTTGAATCTTTTGAATGTTAGTTTTATAGATGGGTTAAGAATCGTCCTTTTTGCATACAGTTACATAGTGATTAAAAACATCTAAACATATTGAGTAAAGTAATGTGCTAACTTACTCACGATAATAATTTCATCTTACCACCTCATTTATAAACAAAACGTAACTAAATTACTAGTTCATATGTTGTTAAAACATGAATAAATGTTATACTCTTTTTATACGCATAAGAGGAAGAGACCAGGTAAGTCTTAATGACCTTGTAATACAATCCATGGCAAGAGATATTGACAAAAAATAATTAATAGGACATGTTTATAAAAATGTATAAATATATACAAAATCCATGCATATAAATTCTAATTTCGCCAGTGCTATGTTTATTGTCTGCACTATCTGTCCCAAGCCAGGATAAAGGAGGAGGGTTACGTTAGGTAGCCGACAGCCAGTGTAAAACAAAGTCGGATCTACATGAAATATGAAGCCTATAATATACTCGTTGGGGCGTCCTCATCGCGATGCGTTGTATCGATGCCACCCCGATGCAATGATAAGTAAGCAATGGTGGTTAGCTAGGGCGTCCCCCGGAAGCGACACATTACACCGATGTCACCCTAGTATAATGACAAGTAAACAATGGTGTTCTAAGAATCTACAATCCCCTAATATGTTACCAAATAGTATTAGACATAGACTAGAATAGTCTAAGAGGAAAAAATAGTAGGAGACTTTTACAGAAAAGTAGAATTAGGTTAGCTACTCCGAATATAGGTATACTTACCGGAAAGACTATGGAATTAGTAGATGCCATGCTTAGAAGAAAAATAAATATAATTTGTTTACAAAAAACTAAATGGATAGGTGAAAAATCTAGAGAAATTGAAAAGACCGGATATAAACTTTGGTTACAGGAAAAGAGAAGAATAGGAATGGAGTGAGAGTTCTTGTAGACAATATAATAAAAGAAAGTGTTTTAGAGGTAAAAAGAGTTACATATAGAATAATACTAATAAAAAATTATCTTAGGTGTAGAGGTTATTAATATTATTTGTACTTACACACCACAAATAGGCTTGTCTGAGAGTAGTAAAAGGGAATTTAGGGATAGATTAGATGAATTAGTACAAGGAATCCCATTTGGAGAGAAATTATTTATATAATGGGGGTCTTAATGGGCATGTTGGTAAGGATAATAATAGATATGAGAGGATACATTGAGGTTTCAGGTATGGAGATAAGAACGATATGGATAAATCGATTTTAATATCACATGAATTGATAATAGCAAATACACTTTTTAGAAAAAAGGATAACTACTTAATAACCTTTAAAAGTGATTTTAATAATAGTTAAATAGACATTTTTCTTATTAGAATGAGGATAGGCTAATATGCAAAGATTGTAAAGTTATACCATAAGAGAATTTAAGTACACAACTTAGATTGATGGTCTTAGACATATCTATTAAGAAGGGAAATAGAAAAATTAACGTGAATAAGAGACTAAGAACTAAATGGTGGAAGTTAAAGTAAGAGAATTTAATACATTTTAAAGATAAGATAATGAAAGAAGATATATGGAATATAGATAATGTTGTGCGCGGCGGAAGCTCGAAAGTACACGAACAAGAACAAGATAAATCACAATCAATAAGCCAAACACAATACCACAGTAAGAAAAACGAATTTTATGTGGTTCGACAAGTTACCTACGTCCATGGGGCAAGGAGGGTGGAGTTCTTACTATTAGAAATCAAGAGAATACAAATAGGGTTACAAATCTCACCAAATAAGCCCTAGAACAAAGCCTCTAGATCTCTCACAAATCTTTCACAATTGGATGCAGCAATCTCCTCTCAAAGACTGCTCAAAACATCATTGCTTAACCCTAATTAATTAGGATTAGGCTTATATATTAACTCAAAATGAAACGGGTCAGAAAACCAACAGCCCAACTCAGACCCGACTCACGGTCGACTGCAGAACTACGTGCGGTCGACCGTGAAAATGATAGAAACTTTCCAGAGTCCCTGGACCGTCGCGCCACGCGAGGTCGACCGTGACCTGATACAGAACAGAACTCACCCTCGTGCACGTTGGTGGTCGACCGTCCCGCCACACGCGATCGACAGCACAACACCCAAATTGGTTCTTTCGTCATTTCCTACGGTCTTTGTCGTTGTACTTGCCATTTCTTCAATTCTCCAACTCGGCGAACGTTTCTACCAAAACTAAGCCGATATCAAAACATCCATATGTTTCACTTGTTGTGTCCAGGACGAAGTGGAAACGACCCACAACAACGGACTCATTCCACAATAAGTCAAGAACCCAAACGAGAGCTCAAACGATCTTCCCCCATCGAAAATCAACAAATCCAACCGGCTGCATCAAACATGACTGCCTACGTATCCTCTTTCTTAAGGAATCAAGCCGAATGTAGTTCACTCAATTGGCCTCCAAAGGCCCTCAACACCGAAGAATGTTCAATAGCTTCAAACAATGACCAAATTTCACACCTGAAATAACTTTGGTCAACATATCCGCAGGATTGTCCTTCGTATGGATCTTTTCTAATATGACGTCTCCATCATTCAATACGTCATGAATAAAGTGGAATCTGACATTAATGTGCTTCGTACATGCATGATAAACCTGGTTCTTCACCAAATAGATAGCCGACTAGGGGTGCATTCGGTCCAGATACAGCTCAGATATGATGCTTATCATATCCATATCCACTTACCCATCTCGGATACGGATACGGATATACTTCGGTAAAAAAAATTTATAACCATATTCGGTAAAATTGGATACGGTTACTGTTGGCCTTCTTGTTTTGATGATGTTTAACAAACAATTTACTTCTAATGTTGTTTGTCTAGTGTTTATGTTTTCGTATTTATTCTACGCAAACAACGAGTTGGAGGTTGGATGGATTACGCCATAACGATCATATCAAATGGAGGTTGGTGGAATAGTGGTTGAAGCCTACGTAATTCAAAGTTAAAGATTCAAGTTCAAGCTTCATCCGTCATCCGCAAGTGTACCAAGATAGAGCTTCGTTGAAGATCACAAGCTTGGGTAAATTTAGTTTTAGGTGTTATATTATGTGTGTTGGTACTTTAAGCTTAATATAATATACACACACATTTTATTGGTTTCTTTGTATATATATATATATAATGAAAATATTGTTTTCTTGGTTTATGGACTTAATAACAATCATATACATCTTTCATTAAGTCTATATAAATATTTTGTAATGTTTCAAAACATGGTTAAGCTAAAATGTCAAAACTCATATGTTTACATTTCATGTTTTGGACTATTTTGCAAAATAATGATATTTTTCATTTGGGAGGTCCTTTTTGAAAACCAGTTTTTGTAGCATGTTTATTATTATGTCTACAATCATTTCCCAAAATTTTATATTTTTTGGAATTTATTTGATATTTTTAAACAGGGTTTTAAAATCAGAAAACTGTTTCAAACCTGTCAATTTGTATATATCTGTTTGCGGTCGACCGCCACGGTCGACTGCCCCTGAGTCCAGAGACTCAGCTTGTTTTTTGATGGCTCCCCCCCCCCCGTGGTGGTCGACCGGATGCAGTCCAGAAAGTTTCGTGGTAGACCGCCACGGTCAACCGACTATTGTCCAGAGCCAAACCCTGACCTTTTTGCTACTCGCGGTCGACCGTGAGTTTTTCATGGTCGACCGCTGATTGCCCAATGGCTATTTTTGGTATAGAATCAGATTTCTGATTCTTTGGGGTTTTTGGTCTTTTTTTTGGGGTTTTTGCTGTTGGTTTCTCTTCCTATATAAACCCCTCAAACCTCTCATCTTTTAAGTATCTAAGATATGTTTTAAACAAGTATTAACAAGGGTTTATGTTTGGTTTAAGTTTTGTTTAAAAAGCTTTTAAGCAAATTAAGAGTTTGTTTTGTGAAATCAATTTTACAAGAGCTTTAGGAGATTAACCATTGGTGTTTGAGCATCCAACTATTCTTCCTCTACCTCTTGATCTATTGAGAAGTTTTCTAAACTCTATTTCTAGCTTTATATCTATTTGTTTGATTTTTATTTTGTTAAAGCTAGTTTTATATTGAGTTTAAGATTTGATTAATCTCTTTGTTACACACACCCACATTGAGCT